CTCAGTTGAATTTCGACCCCCACGGCCTCAGTACCGTGTAATCGAGTACAAAGGTTGTGTGTAATTTTGGTCTTTATATAACGATAAGTGTGAAGTAAGTCGGAAAAATTCTTGCTGTTGGAGTTACATGAGAATAATGTACCTTAAGATTGTTTATCTCAAATAGTTCTAAATGAATGTCAACGATAGCATATATCTATCTTTTGTGTGGTAGCCACTATATGCAAAATACTGAGCCATGAATACAATTAAGTTATATACTTTTTTACAATGCACATTTTTGAATATCTGTCAAATTCCATTACGCGTCGCGTCTACTGTAAGAGGATGAGGGACGATGCATGCGGTTAGAGGGTCGATCTAAGCAATGAAGCGTCATCGCCGAGAACGCGATCCGAACGCAGGCAGACGCGTGAGGGCAGACGTTGGCGGTGGACATAATTCGATTCGCGAAGCTATTCATTACTTAGTGTAGTTGGCATATTTTTTTAGTTACTGTATTTTTTTAGAAAAAAAATTGAATTCCGTGACAGACCATTTTAAACAAATAGTTACAATATTTTTCATCAACTCAAAACTTCAGGTTTCCAACTTCAAAACTGACGAAATCCAATACAATCTTTGAATTTCTATTTTCCCCCTTGTCGGTGGAAATTGCTGATTCCCTTTCTCGATGTTCACTTACGCTTTACAATGAACCTACCTGCATATTTTAAGATTCTAGGTTCAATAGCTTCGGCTGTACGTTAATATAAGAGTGTAAGTCAATCAATAGGTAAATATTTACATAATACTAGTTGTTCCCCGCTGTTCAACCCGCGTTATAGTGGGAAGCTACCCTATGTGTTATTCCAGGTCATGATCTATCTATATACCAACTTACATTTGAACCATTTGAGTTGTTTGTGTGTGAAAAAGTAAAAAACGTAAATACATACATTACATTCATGCATCCTCACAAACTTTACGCATTTATAATATAAGTAGGAGTAGGATTAATAGGATCACCAATGTATTTCATTCTAATCCTTTTGCTGATGCTATTCAATATTATATGAGTGGGTACCTATTGATTGACTGACACTCTAATATTGACGAACAATAGAAGCTATTGAACCTAGAGTCTGGGAATATGCAGGAATCAGGAATTGTCACCCCTCAAGGGGGAAAATAGTTAATGGTTAATGATACTTATTCATTTGCAATTGTGTCAAAAATAAGAACATAAATTACTGATAAAAATACTGAATATTGGTTTATTTAGTTTTGTCAAGCGTGCCATGGATAGCCATGATGCATAATATTTAGTGGTTATTTGAATCAAGTCTTATTTGGAAAATATAACACCCACTTTGGTTGTCGCGTTTCCGCTCAACTCCACTTGTGAATATTTTTCTGATGTTCGTTTTCAATATTATTTGTGGAAAAGAACAAAATCCGGACTGGTAGTCCGTGGTCGACCGGAACTTGTAATACCGAACGTTTCGACTGCTACCTCTTCAGCCTGATAGTATGTAATATCTCGCAGACAACGCACTCATCACTGAAGACTTTTGCCACAGTAGCGGACGAAACGTTTGGTTCTACAAGTTCTTTTTGGCTACGCCTACATGCCTAGATGCTTTCATATTGTTTTTGCGTCTGTAGTCCATTAAAATCCGAACCCGGTACGCCAAACGAAAAAGAAAAATAGAAAGGTTTTTTCTTATTTTCGCAATGTTTCGTGTTCTTCGTGATATTGATGTCGACACTCAAAGACTGGGCAGTCCATCAACCCGCAGAAAATTGACCACGTTCCGATAGAAAAACTCAATTTCAAGATGAAAAGAGAAATTAAAATTTCTGTTTTTTATCACTTTTAATAATAAACTTATTTGCTTTTTCAGCTGCAGGAAAACCCGGAAAAACCTGCAGCACCACATCATCTGAAGATCTTGATCTAACAATGTCCTCTCTCTTATAAATTTATCACTTTTAATAATAATAAATAAAAGTGGTAAAAACATAGATATTTTCATTTCTCTTTTCATTATGATCTCCTACCACGTAGTGGCTACATTCATCAATTTATCAATTTCAAGATTTTAATGACTCGATCCTATTAGTTTTACCTCATTATCACCAACCAGTTCACATTTTTCTTCTGAGTTTATCGAGGGAAAAATTGTAAAGGTTGATTTTTTTTAACGATTTTTTAGCAAGCTACGAGTACAGGGGTAATCCTGGTGACGTAAGCTTTAGGAACACACAGTGAAGTTTCATGATTTATGTTAAATTTCAGTTGAATTTTTTGTTGAATTGGTATCATTGGTGAGAATTGTTTTGGGCGGAAGTAAATCGAGAGGCGAAACAAAGTTTTATTATAAATGTAGATAATAAGATTACCTTTTTCATAGTTGAGGTTAATAAAACAATTTCTATAACAAAAATTATCGAAGAACTGAGAAATAGTCACAATTCAGCAAGAGAAATTATGAAAAATTACGTCCATTGCGACGACTTAGGCAGCGTGAAGTTGCTTTCTGGCTAACGTTTCGTTGTTGTGCTCCCTGTTTCCGGTTTCAAGGGAGGGAATATAAGGAAAAATTGCATGATGGCGCTCCTAGGGTAAAAATACTCCGGAAGCAAAATAGCTCCCCAATCGGATCTCCGGGTGGGGGCTGATTCAATGGTATCATCCTGCCACTATTTCTGACAGTCAGCAGGGCCCTCCTAACATATAAACTCAATGTACCAAGAACTGCAAACAAATAGTCGTCATATTCTTGCACTCACAGAAACCATAGTCAGTGCTTCAACAAATCCCGACAATTTTCTAAATCCCGGCTATGATTTCCATTCCCGATTCAAACGTAAGTTTGGAATATCTCTTTCTATCAGAAGCAATCTCGAGAAGAAACGCTGAAACTCCAAAACTTTAGTGTTATGTGGTTTAAAATAATATCACCGTTTTTCGACCACCAAGAGATACACAATATAGGAGTGCCCTATTCTCTTTACTTGCAAACATCATTTACTTTCTGCAAAATCGATCATCCCAGTTCCCAAATTTCCATATTCGGTGACTTCAATGTCCACAATATCGAATGGCTCAAATTTTTAAATATCAACGACCAACATGGTCGTGAAACAGAGGCTTTTGCAATTAGCAGCGGATTATAAATGAGCCAACCAGGATTCCTGATCGTGATGGAGAATATGCTTGTCTTCTGGATCTATACCTAACAACCAATCCAGAAATTCACATAGTCACCGTAAGGTCTCCATTGGGATCTTCTGACCACAAACTCATTTCAGTGTTGAGTGAATTACCGACAGATGTTGGGGAATAATCTAAGCCGCGTAAAATTTGGCATTACAGATCAGCTGAATGGGAGGATCTTCAACACCATTTCTCAAATTTTCCTGACTAGATGTTTGTTTTAGCTCTAATGATACATTAACTTGTGCTTCTGAAGTGACGTAAGTTATTTTATGGATGTATATATTCCTTTTTAAATGAAACGAACTCCTAACTGCAAATATTTGTTCAACAAAGATTGCGAGCAAACTGTCGCCTACAAAAATCTTGCTAACCGGCAGTGGTGAACTGGGTTTGTTAATGCTCACAACAAATGCGAACTAAGAATGAATGAAAGCAATGAACTTCACATTCAGAAAATTAGGGATACATTGTTTGCCAATCCCAACGGGTTCAGATCCTTCAGGTCCATGGTTAAAGCTGTTAATCAAAACTTTACAAAATCCATAATTACACCATTGACACAACTGGATAGTTCAATTGCAAAAACAGCCATAGGAAAAGCAAATCTACTCACTGAACAATTTGCGTCCCAATCCACAGTCGATTTTCTGGGAAAGGCACCACTCAGTACTACCACACTTGAACCCACAATGCCGTGAAATATTTTGCGACAACGTCTAGTCAGGTGATTTTTGAAACAGCTTAATAACAACAAAGGGTATCTGGTACTGGTCTGGTACTGATGAAATACCATTCATCCTACTTAAAAAGTACACTAATGAACTCCAACTAGTATTTTGCAGAGTTTTCAACCACCTGTCTTACAAGGAAGGGTTTTTTTCTTTTGTTGGAGGATTGCTCGCGTTCAGCCTATTCCCAAAATGGACAAGGAAAATCTTTCAATTAACTATATACCAGTCGCTTTGCTATCAGTGAAAAGCCGTAAACCACCATATCCCTAAATATTTGGAAGGCTTCAACAAAGATCAACAGGCGACCTTCTATCGCGTGTCACCCATATTTGGAATAACGCAATCGAGAAACATGGAGAGTTAAGAGTTGTTGCGCTTGATATTTCTAAGGCCTTTGACCGTGTGTGGTATGAGGGTTTGCTGGCCAAACTTCGATGCTATGGCTTATCGGATCATTTTTGTGTATGGATCTCCAGCTTCCTGCAAGAACGTTCCCTGCAAGTGGCCGTAGATGAATAAACGTTTTTGTGGACTGGGTGAACATGTTATCTCTTCAGATCATGTTATGGATTATGAAAATACAAAAATTTTACTAGTTGAAAATATTAAAGTCAAAAGGCTATTTCTAGAAATGGTTCATATAAGTAAAAATAATAATAAAATAAAAAATCAGAATTACAAAATTTATGTCAAATTTATTATTATATTTTAACTTTTGATCAACAAAATTTAACAAGAAATGCTTCACACAAGTAAAAATAATAATAACCTAAACAAAATGCAGAAATACAAAATTTAAGTCAAATTTACAATTATATTTTAACTTTTGATCAACAAAATTTAACAAATAATTTCAATATAACAAGAAAAATTATAGACCACTGCATATGCATATATCATATTTATCACATTTTCTCTGGTGCTCTGTGATGCATTCAAAGTATTTTATTTATGTCAGTTCATAATTGGAAATACAAGGTACAGGGAGATCTCTTCCATAGTGGCCAGATGCCTGAAGCCGATACTAACTTGCCAATTCAGCAACTGTGAAACAAAAAACTCACCGTCTTCCCCTACAACATCCTGGAAAAATCCGGCACTTATCACAAGAATCAAGCAGCACCAATTCGAAAGATTAGTTTTGAATCTGGTCCGAAAACGCATGTTTCAGTCCATGTGTATCACAGCACTGAGAACATCTTTCTATTTCTATGAGCTCAATTAACTGATTCATTAACATAAATGTAATGCGTCCAACATATTTTCCGATTCACGCATTGAGAAGAGAATTAGATCAAAATTGCCAGCTTATTTATTGCTTCGGCCCGATCTGTGGTTGAGCATATATTAGGTCAACTTACAGAGTGAATATACATACAAGATGAGATGCGATCCGAAGTCCACCCTAGCACAGAAATATGAGCATTAGCTCATATTTGATGATTATAACAACTGGCATCAATCGAAACATGTCCTTTAAAGAATGTTACGGGTCGGTCTTACTTTATTCAAAACTACTAACAGAATAAAAACAATATTAGAAAAAAATGGTAACGAAATATTAAAATGAGTTGATGAAAAGTTGGACATTTTATTAAAACAACGATAAAAATAAAATAAAAACAACAATAAAAATTATATAATTGGCGCTCCGAGGCGACTTCATTGATTCCAGTGGCTTATTTGCTTTTTCAGCTGCAGGAAAACCCGGAAAAACCTGCAGCACCACATCATCTGAAGATCTTGATCTAACAATGTCCTCTCTCTTATAAAACAAAATGTAGGGTGTCTCCAGACGCTCTAATAAATTCAATGCATCGCCAGAACACTTCGTGACACGACTATCGTCAAACTTAAACCAGTCCGTTTCTTCTTTGACCAAGGCGTAATAATGACCAAATTCAACGCCAGAACCACAGTGAACAATGACTGCATGAATATTGTAATAGTGATCTGCTAGGTTGAAATGTGCATCTATTTGGAACCTTCCAAAGAGTTTCTTGCTTCCGTTAGAGGTTGAGTCTTGTTTGAAAATCATCAGTGTTATTATTAGATTGACTGGTGCCTCAGATATACTTGTTTCCTCATAACAGCCAGTTAATTTGGCGCATGTTTGACAATACAGTCGATCATCACCTGTTAAAAATTCCATTTTCGGATGATTTAACAATAAGCTTTGCACGGACTGGTTTATTAGTCATATTAGGAAAAGCTAGGTGAAGTTCCAGAAATTCACATAAGTTTTCGGTACTTCTTGAACATTCACCACAAAGTAAACAAGTGATAATTTTTCCAGCAAAAGATTTACAAACACAAGACGAGATGGGCTGTACGGAATTATTCAGTCCAGAGCGGTCAAGAGTATTGATTTTGCTTTTGTTTTGCTCACGAAGAGTATTCAACAAGAACCCCAAGAATTCGGAACAATCCTCTTGTTGAAAAAGTAATATATATTGAATTGAGAAGAAGCGCGACAACTGGTTGACAAAAAACAGATTTTAACAGATTTATCCGACAGATTGTCGGATAAATGTCGGGGGTCATGAAAAGGTGAAACGCAATGAACCCTTGAGGCCTTTTCCGGAGACTTGGAGAAAATGGTCGAGTCAGAAGTTTTGCAAATAGCAGAGATTTTAATTGATCTGTTTTGAATACTTAAATTTGTGCCCCAGTTTTGAAAACAGAGTCACTTTTGTAATCACTTCACCTGGTATTTTCATTTTACCCATGTCTTACTTTACCCTAAAGACTTCAGAATCAAAGGAAAGTTGGTTGATGAGTTAATTTCATTATCAATGATTTCTCAATCTGAGTCAGACAATAACTTCGACAATTGCAAATATATGTAATACATTACGAAAATAGAAATTTATGAAAATGAATATAGAGTGCATTTTTTTAAAGTCCCTCTCCCTTTTTTTTTGAACGGGGAAATTTGAGATAATGAAAATAATGCATGAATACTTTATTTTGAAGTGAAATTGACAGATCAAACTTTCAAAATGGCGACTGGGCTCCATCTGGAAAAGAAATTAAATGAAAAGGGGGGTCTTGTGAGACATCATTTTGAATCTCCTGACAAATACTTCATAACCCTAGTATATGAAGTCAATATCTTCACACAAATTGGTGGAACATTTAATAATTTCCTGAATACAAACACATTAATATCGATATTTCTAGAAATATTCCTTTTTATCTGCCATATGGCAATTTCAATAACCCGATAAGGTTTGTTAAGTTATTTTTTGTTTATAAAAACGACAAAAAATGTCAGTACGACAATGAAAATCATTGTTCAGTAAGAATATAAGTTGTTGTTCAGTAAGAATATTCTCATTTAGTTTTCGGTTTTACTAATAGAAGGTACCACGTCCACAATCTCTAAAATGGTCAATTCTCGTCCATTGGAAGGAAAAATTGCGATTTTTAAATACGGTGCGACGCGTTCATTTTCAATGAACGTTTTCCGAATCGTCTTATCTATAGAAAATATTTGAGGAAACTTTTATCCAAATTCACAACTACCGTTAGTGTACATAACAACAAGCCCCCAGGTCATCCGTCCATTCCGGAAGAACAGCAAGTCTACTTATTTCGTCGCGAATGTTTGCGAGGTGTCTCCTTCTACTGTGTGGAGACATTTGAAGAGGAATAGGTATCATCCATATGAAATTAAAATGGCACACCAATTAACTGAAGATGACCCTGATCGAAGAACAGAATTCTGCGAAATCATGACGGAAACCATTGCAAGGCATCGTACCTATCTCCACAATATTTTTTTAAACGGCAATGTTCATAGACAAAATTTCCGTTATTGGAGTGACACCAACCCTAACGTTTTCTGGGAAGTACATATCCAATATCCAGAAAAAATTAACGTTTGGGCAGGAATATTGGGAAACCATATTGTAGGACCTCTATTTATTGATCAAAATTCAACAGAGGAACTGTATTTGAATATGCTGGAAACGATTGTTGACCCTCTCATCACTGAAATCGTCGAAGCGAATCCTGATGAATTCGATATGGATATTGTATTACAACAAGATGGAGCACCACCACATTACTCCAGACAAGTAAGAAACTATTTGGATACTACTTTTCCGGGTCGTTGGATTGGCCGTCGAGGTCCTACAGAATGGCCAGCCCGCTCACCAGATTTGACACCTTTGGACTTTTTTATGAGTCTATTTAAAGCAAAAGGTGTAGGAAACTGAACCTGCTTCAATATTTGATACACGGCAGAGAATATAAATATTTGTAGAGATATTGACGTTACTGTGTTCAAAAATGTTCGGCGTGAAATATCTGATAGGCTGTTCATATGTCAAGAAGTTCAAGGCAACCATTTCGAACATCTTCTGAACTGACCTCAAGCTCATTACCTTATGTTGTTAAATGGCAATGTATTCAGGCAATTATTCAAAGTTTCGCCATTTTCTAGTAGTTGAAGATATTGACATTAAATTTAAAAGTTGTGAAGCATTTGTGAGGAGCTTCAAAATGATGTGTCACAAGACCATCGTTTCCATTCAATTTTCCCAATTATCCCAAATTTCAATTTTTTGACTTGACCCGTTCAAAAAATAAAAGGGGCGGAAAATTAAAGAAATGCACTGTATGTATAGACCATATTTTATAGTGTGATTAGATTATTACTACTAATAAGTCATTCTTCTATTAACATGAATCTGATTTTTTTTCTCTACAGTTTTTGATACATCGTGTATCTATAAAGGTAAGGCAGATGTTTTGAAGTATGTGTTTATAATTAAAATATTGAAAACTTGAGTAACAATTCCTATTGTTAGAAAGCATTTCCATTAGTATAAGTTTCAAATGTAAAAGAAAATATTGTTGGATAGCTTGTTAATGAATTATCCAGTTAAAACAACTGCTTTTTTCCAAGGATATTCTGTAACATTCATTAATGGATTTCAGACAGGTATCACTCTTCTGAATCTAAAAAACGACTATGTATATTGAAATTTCACTAAAAATAAACTAAACGTGATTGATTTTTCGAAACTCAAACAACTTATCAAGATTCTACGTGCTATCAGTTTCTTGGGAATCCATAAAAAATCTCAAGGGAAACGTAAAGTGACTTGATGAAGGGCTTGATTTAATGGTTTTAGACAGGAAAACTATAAAAAGTATACCGTTTTATTGATTTCATTGATTTAATTAGAGCAAGAGCTTTTGATATCACACATAGCAGTTTGTAAATTGACTTTAATAATGTATCCATGCAATTTCATGAAACAAAACAAGAACACTCCACTCGATTTCCCTACTGAATCTGTAAAAATTATGTCTAATACCACAAGTAGGCAAGTACGCCCCTGGTAATTGATGGAGATCATACGCATCTTTTGTTTTTCTAGTGGTTAATGTACGGATCGATCATCTTGAATGATTTATACGGAAGTGCAGAAGGGCCACATATTTTTATTATTTGTTTCTTGGAAATTACGGCTTTAAATCTTATATCTATATATACTTATATATTATAAGTATTCCTATATTCTATAAGTATATCTATAAGTATAATTCCTCAGTGGTTTATAGTAATCCTAATGGTGTGCTAGTTTTGACTTCTTGAATCGAGTTAATGCTTTGTCTCTCTAAATCTGTATTGCAACATTCATTACCTAATCCATCAAAACGTGACAAAGTACTATGATAACCATAATTTGTGCGATGGTAGAGAACTTGGAATAATTCAGATTTTCGAATAGGTCTGTTTGAAACTTTAAAATAAATCGAATGGAGCAATGAAGGACAATCTGTCACTCTTGATAGTATCTCATAGAGAGTAATCAAGTCAGATCTTGTTCTACTACTTTCTAAGCTGGTAATATTCAAATTTTGCATACCTTGTATATAATCGTATTCACCATAACACAGATTCATTTTAAATGCTATACACCTCAGAAATTTTCTCATCGATGTGAGTTCGATAATATGATGATCACACTGGTGGGGCGTATTGAATGAATAACTGAATAAACCAATGATAGATATAATGTTCTAAAAGCCACAACAGATAGGTTTTTAGTATTTCTATTAATGAAACCTAATAATTGGAAAGATTTATTGACTACGGAGTCAATAATGATGTGTAAAATTCAATTGATGATCAAACATGACTCCTAAATTGCGAATTTCAAAAACCCGTTCAAAGTTGTTTTCAATTTGCTAATCGAATTGAATAAGATTATTGGACCTAGAAAATGAAATACAATTATACTTGTCAACATTGAGTGACATTCCATTA